TGACACGCCACAAAGATGTGAGAGCTAGTTACGAGGATGGCAACCGCGACCCGCCTGATCCCTGTGACAGTTGACACTTTCGGCACGCCAACAAGATATTAGAGCTCAAAAACGATGACAGTTACGAGGATGGCAACCCTGTGAGGCGACTGTTGACACTTTTGAAGCACCAGGGGGGAGGGGTGGGGGGGTGGGAACGCGGAGCGCAGACGCATATAAAGGGTTGGGGAGTGTGGAAAATTGGTATGAAGGGATGAATAGCAGTACAAGTGCCCAAATTTCTGTGAAGCGCACCTACCCGGCAACTAAGACGGCTTTCATGTCACTCAAAACCCCAATCTGCGTCATGAGGTAGGAGTATATATGTCTGTGCCGGGTTTAGGGCTTCGGTTTCAAGGTTCAGGCAATAAAGTGGCCTAAATAATTGCCCACATTCTGGTTTCACATTCCGCGGTATACTATGTGTTGCATATACAACACTGAAAATGATAATGGTATCTTTTGGTACATTTGTCTGGGGTAATCCCTTATACATCCCTAGATCCAACTCAGTTTCCATGTCATTTTCAATTCTCTTGTCCATGCGATTCTCCATTGTTAGAGTAATATCTCTCAACCCAAAACCCCAAAACCCTAAAGCCTAAACCCATAACCCTAAACCCAAAAAGCCATGTCTCCCCCCCGCGGGGAAAATTCAAGAAGACACAGTCTAGCCGAATCAAGATTGAAACCTGGGCAGGTCAAAATTAGGGTTTAGGGTTTCTTTTGCGTCCTTCTAGTATACCCTTAGTGACCCCTACAGTGGTCTCCTATATAATCCGCTGTACATACGATGTAACCACTTTGAGGAGTTTAGACTATAGTACCTTTAAAATTCGTATGCAGGGGTTGGTAGGGTTACAGGCACCCTGATTCTGCCAGATGTCCCCAGCCCCATTATTGTAAAAGTGCACCTTCCAACCTAAACCCTAAACCCCTAANNCCCCCCCCCCCCTCCCCCCCTCCCTTCTGCCAAGAAAGCGGCTGTTGCCGCCAATAGCCATGATGACATAGTATGGGGTTCCAGCTGCAAGGACCTGATCTCTCTTAGGGTTTAGAGTTTAGGG